GTCGTCCGGTTCAATACCACACCCAACCTATCGGGGCCTTATGTGGTTTACCACTCCAAGTCCCGGGGCTTAGGTTACCGGTTTCCATCACTGAACAACGGGTCCTCGTGATTATGGGGTTCCACTCCGTCTGTTATTCATCACACGAAAGTGTGTAATAAAAAACAAAACAGAGACAACCACCTCCGACCATACTGACGTTTTTGAAGGCACTTTGATAATGGTTGTTACACTCAAACAGATTGGAACCACCATTCATGTCAGCCACGTTTGCTGTAAACCCTCCCAGTTTCACACCGTGTTCAGTTTGCTTGAATGTGTTGAGGAGGTGCAAAGTTCGGTTCAGTTCAGATTTTAAAACCATTAAGCCTCATCTCGTGCTCCGGTTTACCTCGATGGAGGCACATCGCCCATCCGACAAACTATCAGACTCTGTTACCCCTTCTGGTAGGCGCTTCGCACCTTCGAAACGCAAAGCGACTTTGCGAGACTGGGTATTGGCTATTCCTGCTTTAAAGCTCGATTGCCAGGAATTAATCGTAGTTAATTGCTCTTTCAGGGCATCTTTAATGAGGATAGCACAATAGAGGCGAGCAATGCATACATGCATACATACATACACGTTATTTGTAGTTGCTGCTTCGAAATGAAGAAAATCGCCGGAGGTCCAAAGGTGACATGAACAATTTCAATTGGAAGTTAAGAGAAGGTGCTTTCTGTTTTACAAGCTGAGGTCTGAAAGACTGTAACTGGTTAGTTAAAAACACCAAGGAGCCTGGCAGCGAACCGACAGTACTGGCATTCTTGTTATTTGCTTATCAAACCGGAATACTTGATGAGGTATGCATGCACAGTGAGACTGTATACTCTGTTGACCGTAGTGGCTCATTTTCTTTTTTTCGTTTCCCGGGAGCCGTTTATTTTTAACACAACCGACTGCAGGAAAGGTGGGAAAAGTAACCCAGCATATGAGATGTCCAACGATTGTAAAGACGTGTTACTTCCCGATTCTATGGTCCAAGTTGCTGTGGAGACAGACCCACTCCCTATACATACTTGTTCAGTCAGTATGCACGGTATACATTTTCTTTTATTGTCGCCTTTTCGAATATTTGTTCTTCTCCATCCGTCCTAATTACTGCGCGTATTCGCTCTATTATTTTCTCCCTCCCCACAGGTGTGGAAACGACGATACGACGAAGCGTGTGCTGCACTCGCAGCGGGAACAGGTGATTCGGGCGCAGTGAAAGAGGCGAATGCCATGCTTGTATTGTACGACAGTCTCCAGTTGGCCCACAAGTGCATTCTGAACTCATTCTACGGGTATGTGATGCGTAGAGGGGCCCGTTGGCATTCGATGGAGATGGCTGGGATCGTGTGCCATACAGGTGCCAACATTATTACGCGTGCCAGAGAAATTATAGAACAAGTAAGCAGTTTATTTACTCAAAATGAGCGATTTCTTCACGAGCGTTCCATTACTGACAAATGAGCTATAGATAGCTATATAAACTTGCGAGCCTTTCTAAATAGATACTTGTTCGTGTTGCCACTCATTATATGTATATGGCTTTCACTGTCCTCGGAATCCCCAGTTTGATAGTGTCCTCCAAGTGCCCATTTTGATATTTCGACTGTGTTCCTTATCAGAGAATTGAAAAGTGTAGCTGATGAGTGATGAATCTACTGGAGAGTGCCTGTGAAAAACCGAATGGGCTAATCCGAACATTCACCATCTACTTGGGAGTGTATTTGAAAATCGTTACGATGTGATGTTGACGCCTCGTACTCTCTTACTTAGCCATGATGATTTCCGTTCGAATAGCATGATGTCATCTCTTATTTGTGGTTCATTTATGTGTGTCCACGTGTTACGTATTTTCCAGGTAGGCAGAGCGCTGGAGCTGGACACAGATGGTATCTGGTGCATTCTTCCTGCTAGTTTTCCACAAAACCTTGAATTCAAGACTACCAGTGCCAAACCGTCGCGTGTATCTATCTCCT